GTCTTTAACGACAGCGGCCAGGTTGCGTTCTAGCTGGGCATCTCCAATCTTGAATTAATATTTTATTTGTGTGGGTCTGAGAACGCCCAAAATAATGAACTGTGGTGGCAAGGAGAGATTTGGGTAGGTAAATGATTTCAAAGTTCATTTAGGAACAAACTGGTTCCTGGAGTGTCTGGGAGAATAATTCCACCTTAACCAGAAGACCCTTCTGAAAATAACCTTTATATGTATAGCCTCAGAGAAAGCATGTCTGCTACCTTGTCTGGTGCTGGGCAGGATCATTATGAAAACTGAGAGTAGACAGCTGTTCCCACTGTCAGGGTGACTTTCCTCAGCCCTGTTAAAAGAAGCCAGGCAAAGTGGCTCTGGAAAAGATCCACGGGAAGAGGGAAAGATTTGGGAGATGCAAATGTTTGAATTAGTCTTGCGGTTTGGAGGGCCTCACAAGAGCAGCCATGGAGGAGTCTAATCATAAACCAGAATTCAACAACCTGAAGGCCTCCCAATCTCTGTATGTTTTTATGCTTCCAAAAACTACACTCTGATATAGCTTTCCATGCAATGGAAACCTACCTCCCTTTCTTCTTTCATGTGGACACAAAGATACTAGAGGTGGATATTTTTCCGTGTTCCCTGCAGACTGGCTTTAATGTATCCCACAATGTTGTTCTCCAAGACATGCAATGTTGTGGAAATACAGTGCTAGAACGCATGCAGTGTCCGTGCACCTTATAAGCCATCATTGCCTTCTCCTACATATCACGCTGTGATTAATATTCGATAACTGTCCCACATTGCTGTCTAAAACCAGCCAAATATGAAATAAAGAACCAAAAGGAGGAACATGCACATTTAATTCACTGAGCAAAGTTTTCTCTGACTTCAAGATGAAGAATCGTGGGAATAAAGAACCTACAGTGCTCACTTAGGAAGCACATACATTTGCATACAAAAAAGAAAACCCAAAAAAGTTTTGAGATTCTTAGGAGAGAAGAAATCCCAGGAAGGTTTTGAAGCTAAGATTAGAAAGCCAGAACCCAGTGTATCTTAGAAACATGTGCAGGCAAAAATTAGGGTGTTTTTATAGCATAGTCTTAACAGGGTCTAGAGCAGAGGAGACCAACTTATTACAAACTCTGGGACGTATATTGCCTAAGGCAAAAATGAGCATTGTAAATATAATCAGTCTCTTGTAAGTTAATCAGACATTATTATAACTGACACACTATCGTTTTCCACGTAATACGTGTCAAGCATATTGGCCTGTTTACCCTCAACGCACTACTATGTTCAGCAAAGCCAGCAGGAAAGCGAGGACTTAATGTGTTTTGACCAAGTGTCTTTCACCAAGTAGGGACAAACTCATCGTTGGTGCAAGGAAGAGCAGCATGTGGATTTCATTCACAGATGTCACCGTCCTATGTGCAAACTGAAATAAAAAGAAACAGAGACTCAGGGGAGATAAAAAAGCAGGTCCTTCCCATCCAATCCATATTAATTATCTCCTTTTAAAATTGAATATAAGTAGCGTATTATAATCTCACTATACAAAGAGTAAATGATATATTACCACAGGCATGTGATGGTCCCTGAAGATTGACTCTTCAGGATTTAAAACAGTGCCAGACAGATTGTAAAAAGGAGGAAGCAGGATGTCTATGAAAAAAAAAAAAAGGATCTCTGCTAGAGGGGAAATTGCAGAATGACCAAAGAAAAATCATTTTTCAGTCAGTGAAACAGAGGACCATTTTGATTGTTACAGACCTATGGTATCATCTCTCTCCCTGACAGCTTTGGGGATGATGGATTACCACACCTGAAATATACCACAAGTGATTCAGAAAACAAATTAAAAAGCAGCTTTTGATGGGACATTCAGGGTGTTGGGTATTGTCTGCATTATCAATACAGCAACATACCATGAAAATGTTGCCTGATACCATAAAACATGAGGCCGTGGCATTGACTCCCAGAAGAACTCTGAGCATGAGGAGGAATTAAGAGTAGTCTGGACAAACCAATCGTATGTGCTCAGCTGAATATTTTTTTCAGTTCATCCTTGTAGTCACTGATTTGTCTGGATATGATCAGAGTTCGCTTATACGGGTTGCCAGAATCATTTTTACAACAGCCCTGGGCGCATGAGGCAATATGGTAGATGACATATGTATTTTATATCTCTGGTTTACCTGATAAGGTGTTTTATTTAACTGGCAGTTAAATCATTTAAATTTCATGTCTGTTACACTGGAAGTTTATCTCTTAGGTTGCCCTTTGCATGGTACTGACTGGCCTCGGCAATTCTATGTACTGAGGTTCCCTTTTCAGTTACTCTTATCCATGCTTCAGCTATGAGATTTGACCAGAAAAAGGGGCAACAAATGTAAACCTCTTATAAAACATTGGATTCCTTTGGCAATCTCTGGCATTTCTCTTCTGAGAAATTTAAAGCAATTTGACAAAAATGAGTGTGTTACAGGTCAGCTATCTAGTAATCACTAGCTTTGTCCATGCTTTTATTGCATACAGGTAGGGAGATGGAGGCAATGAAAGGTAAAGTAACTTGACTATGACCTGTCTAGAAATAAGCGCAAGGAGCAAGGCAGGAGCATAGGCGGGAGAGGCTGTGCCGTTGAAGCTGGGGGTAGACTCCAGGACCTCTTAACTCTAGTCCTGTCTTTGTCAGTGCCTACCATGTGAACTTGAAGAAATCACCTGAGCTCCTTTTTACTGTATGTGGATTGGGAGTACCTACAGCCCCCTTTGTAAAGCGTTTTGAAACCTCTGGTTGCAAAAAATGTTGTGCATCAAAACACGCTTATTAACAGAATTACTCTTTCTTAGCCAGAGCACCTCTCCAAAGACCCCCGTGAGACTTACCGTTAGTTTATTGCAGAGAGTTGTACCGAGCTGGTTTAATTTTATTATCTTTTTTTTGTCTGTTTTTCTTTCTTTCTCTCTCTCTGTCTCGTGGGTAATGGGCAGGTGAGAAACCCCACCAATGCAGCATCTGTTGGCGCTCCTTCTCTTTAAAGGATTACCTAATCAAACACATGGTGACGCACACTGGCGTGAGGGCGTACCAGTGCAGTATCTGCAACAAGCGCTTCACCCAGAAGAGCTCCCTTAATGTGCATATGCGCCTCCACCGCGGGGAGAAGTCCTACGAGTGCTACATCTGCAAGAAGAAGTTCTCCCACAAGACCCTGCTGGAGAGGCATGTGGCTCTGCACAGCGCCACCAACGGCACGCCTGGAGCCACCGGCACCGGCGCGAGGGCCGTCCCTGCCGGGGTGGTGGCCTGCACGGAGGGGACCACGTACGTCTGCTCTGTCTGTCCAGCTAAGTTTGACCAAATCGAGCATTTCAACGACCACATGAGGATGCATGTGTCAGACGGATAAGTAGAATCTCTCTCTCTCTCTTTGTTATGAACAAAAAAATAGAAACAACAAAAAAAGCTATGGCACTAGAATTTAAGAAATGATTTTTGTTTCATTTTTACCTTTATTTTCCTCCTTTTTTTGGGTTTGTTTCGTTTTGTTGTTTTTGTACTACATGAAGAACTGTTTTTTGCCTGCTGGTACATTACATTTCCGGAGGCTGGGTGAATAATAATTTTCCCAACCTCCTTCGGATGGTGGCCTTAAGGCCAGGTAGTGCTTCATGAGCTCCACTGGTTGGATCTCTAGCTACTGGCCTCTAAATACAACCCTTCTTTACTACAAAAAACAAACAAAAAAAAACCCACAAAAAAAATCAAAAAACAGACAGAAAAAATAAAAAACAAAAAAAAATTTCTTTTTTCTCACTTGTGAAGAGCACTACAAAAAAAAAGAAAACAAAATATATTACAAATCTACAAGGCCTACTGTCGTTATAAGTACACCGCTCGCAGTGTTTCAATGGACATAATTCACAATGCTGACCGCTTTTGGACTTCACAGTATCCAGTTAGAACTGTGGAATATTTTACTTCTGGTTGAGCAGCAACCAGAGGAAACAAGGCCCTGCTGGTTTCCACCACGTGTCTGCTTTCTCACACACACACGCATCCGCAAACACACGAAAGGGCTGAGGGGAGTGCAAGGCAGTGTGGCTTGGATAATGTGGAGTCCCTGCAGGGTGAGGAAAAAGAATCAGAAGTTCCTCACCTGGATTCTGCTCCATCCCACGCTCTCTGGCGCACCCTCCCCGCTGCTTTTCCCATACCACCACCACCACCACCTTACAGCAGAAACCAAGAAGATTCAGACAACGAGCAACGGTGGCTTTTTTGTAATTTATTCAGTGTCTTCGCTGAGCCCAGGGCCTCAGCACAATCAAGAGGGACTTTCACAGAAGGCAAAGAGAAACACAGAGGAAAATCAAAGATATCAGAGGTTGCAACCTATGGATCTAGGTACAAGAGAAGGGTTAGTTCCCACAATCTTTGCAAAAAAAAAAAAGAAAATTGCATCAGGATTAATTCTTGTGGAAGAAAGAGGAATAGAGGGTGGGTGGGGAGGGGAATAATAATTAAAAAAAAAAGAGTTCTTGGGACTTTTTTAATTCAAAATTTTATAGAGGGGCAAAAGTGACGTTTACCAGATAGAATGCTGATTTTTTTAATATATTTACAACAGTATTTGTGTAAAAAAACAAAAAAAGTGAGATTGTTAAAAGTAATTTTTCTTTGTTTTCTTTTTTGTTTTGCGTACACTGCCACTAATATCTTCTCTTTTATTATATATATGAATATATATATAAATATATATTTTATTTTAAATTGAGACTGTTAAGGTTAGCTAACCTGCTTCCAGATAGAGGGGGGAAGGGGAGATGATCTTGATTTTTATTTTAAAAAAGAGGAAGGATGTTTCTTAATTTTCTTTTCTAGTATTACTCTCTCTCTCTCTCTTTTCTAATGGAATCAAGAATTACCTGGGTCGATGAGGGGCTCTGTGAAGTCATCTGTGAGATTATCTACTAGAGTTTGTGCATCCTGCAGTATCATTTGAACTGCTACTTTGTTTTTGAATCACGTGGTTCTCTTTTTGGCTCTTACCAAGGTTCTGTTGTTTCTTTTTTTTGTTCCATCTCAGAATTTATTTCTGCTGAAGGGTGGTTCCTTTTGAGAAAGAGATTTTTCTAGGAATGTTCCCTTGGTTTAAGGGATGATAGAATCTGTAGTCTTTTCTTTCTTCTTATTTGAAAAAGCAATGAAAGTTTTGGAAGTGTGTAATAACTAGGATTTCCCTTCTTTTTGGTCACTGGACAAGAATTAATCTGCTGTATTGTTCTCTCATCCCTGCCTTGCTCGCTAGAGAGCTTCCATATTTGTGTGGGAATCTGATCCTGCCCCTGGTAATTTGTGCTGATGCCAAAATAACTTAAAATGTTACCATTGCAAATAATCTTCCCTTCTTTACTTGCAAAAACGTCTAACTGAAGGGCCACATCCCACATTCTCTGCATATGCAAAGCTATGCAAGGAATGTAGGATCAGTGTGAAAGATTGATTCCTGATCTGCATATATATGTTGGTGGTTTGTATTTTGTTTTATTGTGTTTGGGCTGGTGTTCTCCCTAGTTGTCTTCTGTGTATCTGTGTGAGAATTTTTCCCCCAAAGCCAACTCCCAAAGTACATGGGTCCTTAGTTCAGTTGGATCAGTGTCTGACACTATCTTTGTCTTGCTTGAAATCCATAGCTAGGATTTGCACCAGCTGCACTCTGGACTTTATATTTTAGGCAGAGAAGAAGCACCTAACAAAAATATGCAAAAAGAAAAAAAAAAAAGAAAAATTGCTAGTTTAGCTTTTACTTGTGTCTATATTTAAATTAAGCTTTCTTAAGTTTACAAAACTTTGCTTGTGAACACTGAGCATTTCACATGAGACATTCTTTTATGCTGGACAACTTTCTAACTATTGACTTGATAGATCTCCACATACAATTTTATGTGTTCTTTACACCTGCGGCTTCTGTATTGGATGTCTGTGATTCAGCACAGGTAACCTCATTGCTATGTTCTATGCCTGTTCCATTACTGATTTATTTTGGGGAAAAAAACTGACATGTGGTTCAGTCTCAGAATCTTTCTGTACCTTGCAAGGTATTGTTCAGCAGATCCTAAATGTTGAAGCCCCGATTCTCAGCTGCAGTAGGCAGCATAAAGAGACGTTGAGGCGAGTGCCAGAGCAAATGAGTCTCTTAATGGTAACGTCTTTTTTTGTTACCAATTGGTTTGGGTAGTTCAAGGGGGCTAGAGAAGGAGCACAAGTTAGTTAACAAATATTGTTCTCATAACCACACTGGTAAAAGCAATGCTGGCATGTAAACCAAGAAGTGAAAAGACAAAGCCTAAGACACAGAGAGGGAGTCCTAATAGCTGCCATGTAAAGACGCACTAAATCTGTACAGAAAATAAAGGTTCTAGAGACAAGAGTGTGGAAGAAAATGGGGAAGGTGAACCTATACAAAAGGATTGAAGGTCTTTCTCTGAGGAAAGGATTTTTTTTCTGAGGTCTTTAGTATCGAAGAGCTTGGTGTTCTCCCATATGAGGAATTAACAAAGAATTTTACCCAGCTTAAAAATCTGTAGCTGTTCATTTGTCATCTGAGGTCTGGGGAAAAGCTGTTTAATTTGCCATTGTTAAATCTGGTGAATTATAGTCAAGGTGTAGCATAGTCTGGAATATAGTTCTGATACCAGAAGAGATATGCCAGTACACAGGAAATAATCAGGGTTTACATCCCCCAAAATCCAAATACTGTGGCGTTTAGAGAGAAAAATCCTACCTAAATTTTAATTCTTCAATTTTCAACCTTCCCTAAATCAAAGAAGCACCATCTTTGACATGCAAATTTATTATGGGGGCTAATAAATTTGAAGTGAATTAAAGATCAGCTGTGAATGAATGAAGGATGCCAATTAAGAAAATAAACAAACTTCTTAAAGTAAAGCTAAGGCATACTAGATTGAATTCTAAATCACTTGTCGAAGAGTTTAGGCCAAGTTCTTCACAAATGGCTGCCTGAAATATAAACTGATTTTGTTGAACTTCCAGGCTCAAAAATTAGTGACTTGATTTTGTAAAACATGGAGCAACTTGCAGCATGATTGCAAATGTAGCTGAAAGTGCTCATCAGGTCACTTAAATAAGTGCCCTTCTGTGAACTTAGGAGCTCAAACATAGACCCTTTTATCTTTTAAAATTTTAATATTTTTTTTTAATAAATCTTCCTCCCATCTGTTGAAATATTTATTTACTACTTGGAAACAACTACAATATCTGAATGTTACAGGTATCTTCAAGCTTCATGTATTGCTACAATATTCCTTAGCAGAAAGAATACCTGTGGTACACTAGCAGTTGCAATGATCTACAAACTGCTGTTGACAGTGGTTGAGCACATCCATCTCAGTATGCTTGAAAGGCTTCCTTCAGAACACCTGATAAAATGATATAGATGAGAAAGAGCAGACTGTAGCACACATCCCTCTGATGGAGCATGCAATATCCTGCATTCCTTGAGCCTGATTCTCACTTTCCCTAAAGCTCTCTTTGTATTGCTTTGGCAGTGGAAAAGGGCATTAAATAAGACATAAATTCAAGCATACAAATCAAGGCCTCTCTGCAAGGCAAAAGTGCAATAAAGGAAGCCTTAGAGTAAATGAGAGGTAAGTGCCTTCTCTTACTGCTGCTGAGGCTGATGAAGTCAATTGAAAATGTAGGATTGGCCAGAGCAGATCTGCCCTGTGGTCCACCTCGCCCAGTATTCTGTCTCTGTCATGTGGCCAGTTACAGATGATTTGGATGAAGATGAAAGACCATGTTGGATAATTACAAAGTAATAAGCCTAAGAGAGAAGATTTATTATAATCCTCATTAGCTATGTATCTGCTTATAACCTAAAGACATAATAATTTATGGCCTTAACATTTTACCCCATATAAAAATTATATATTGTGGCAGATAATTCTCATTATCCTTTAAGATCTAGCTTATTAATTGCTAGGTGGCCCCAGTGCTATCCTGTGGAAGTGAGTTCCTCAGGTTAATTACCACCTTGTTGAAATGATTCCTTTTCAGGTTAATTTTGTTGCTGTTCATTGAAACACCCTTGTTCTTGTACTATGTGAAACCATAAATTGGAGAACTAAAATTTAACTTCTCTTGCCCATTCCGCTGAAGTCTGCCTCTCTCTGGGAAATCTGAATCCACAAGGAATGCAAGACCACAACGTCAGTGTCTGCTGGTCAGTAAGGAGAGAACAGCTACCGAGTGTGCGCGTGTGCGTGTCTGGGGTGTGTGCATTAGTGAGGTTCTCCTGCAGTGATGTCTTGCAGAGGACTAGCAAGTACAACTCGTATAATGGGAACATACCAGTAGAGTACACCAATCTAGAAATTGTAATATGATATTTCAATCTGGTCCCTCCTCTCACAAAACCCATGTTAATAGTCTCTCATAAGGGAGATAGGTATAGATATTTTGCAGGAGCTACTCTGGGGACACTTTCTCAGCAACTGTCATGCTTCTACTAGGCCCACTTCTGGCCCATGCTGTTAGTTACTTTCAAAACCAGCACAAATTCACAGTAAGCTAAAAGGGAAGAGTGGCATTTAAATGGCTTTCTAAGAGAATGAGATTTCCCTTTGCTCTAAGGTCAAAGAGGCCAAGTGGTACCCATTTTTCTTCTTTTGATTTCTTTTTCATCCAAAGGATAGTTGAGTAATAACCCACATACC